AGGAAAACAGAAAAAATCAATTTTGACGGAAAAATAAAATATTTTGGTTTTGATGGAAAAATACGATTTCTCGGTCTTGATGGAAAATACAATTTTTCGGTTTTGATGGGAAATGAAAAATTCGAGTTGACGGATAATGCGATTTCTTGGTTTTCGTGAAAAAATGCGATTTTTTAGTTTTTTTTTGGAAAATACAATTTGAAGATTTTGGTGGAAAATGCAATTCCTCGGTTTGATGGAAAAATAAAATTTCTCTGTTTTTGGTGGGAATAAGCCATTTCTCGATTTTGATGGAAAATAAAAATTTTCATTTTTGACAGATAATGGGATTTTTTAGTTTTCGTGGGAAAATATGATTTCTTAGTCTTTGCGGGAGAATTCAGTTTTTCACGAGGTAATGCAATTTTTGGTTTTCCTGGAAAAATATAATTTCTCGGTTTTGGTGGGAAAACGTGAATTTTGGTATGACGAGAAAATGAAATTTCTTGATTTTAGCGGGAATAGGGGATTTCTCAGTTTTCGCAAAAATATAATTTTTTTTGTTTTGTCTGAATTTTTTTCGGTAATTGTATGAAGATAAAAGTTTTTGGTTTTAGTGAGAGAACATAATTTCTCTGTTTTGGCAGAAAACACAGGTTCTCGCGGGAAAATATGATTTCTTGGTTTTTGCGGGAAAATGCAATTTCTTGGTTTTGGTGGGAATAGACAATTTCTCAGTTTTCATGGGAAAAAGATTTTTTGGTTTAAACAGAAAATGAGATTTTTTAGTATTTGTAAGAAGATAAAATTTCTTGGTGGTAAAATTCCAAGTTACCATATATTTACAGTAACCAAACTTTAATTATTTAACTTCTGCTTTATCGATATTTCAACAGTTCAAACATAATTTTCTATTTAGTTCTAAAGCAATAACAATGGTTTCAATATGAATGTTATTGATTATAGTTTGGTAGCTTTAGAAACATATATTTATAAAAAAATTGATAAATAAACAAATTTTATAATTCAAAAAATGATATTAATTAATATTTTTTTAAATGATTGCTTTATATAATTATAAGAGAGGATCAAGTGGCAATTTAGTAGAGAAAATAGATTATATTTGCCATTGGCATGAAGGTACTTAAAAATATATTATTGTAGTTTTATATATACATTTATAGTTAGGTAAAGAAATTTGATAGGAAATTACAATTTGAAAAAATAAAAAGGATATACAATGTTTATTCATATTTAAAACATATAAATACATAACTTAAGATATAGTAGAATAAATAAATATAATATTCTTTTACATAATAAAAATAATTCTATTATATTAAATATATATATATATATATATATAATTTAGAAAAATATTCATCAGCGTAGCGCGGGTAAATACCTAGTTATAATAATAAACAATCCATTAGAATGCGATGTATCACTGCAATAGCACAAATCCCTTCTTTTTCTCAATAACCTCAGCATCTATAATGACGATTTCTTTTTGTTTTTGTCGGTAAGCAGATTTGTTGGTGAAGCTAATAGTTGGGGAAGGCCGGGTAATATGTTCTTCGCCACCAGAAATGTTTCAGTTTAGGTGGTATGGAAAAATTCCAGATACGTTGGTGAAGCTAATAGTTGGGGAAGGCCGGGTAATATGTTCATCCCTGACCAAGTTATAGCTCGATTTGACAGAGTAAAGCCCATCTTTGGTAGAGATCCAACTAGTTGAATTCTCGCATTGTGAGAAACTAGGGCGAATTCGTTTAAAGTAAGAAATATCCCTAGGATACAAGAGCTGGCGTAACCTAAGTTTATTCTATTGATATATCTTTAAATTTAGATTAGGAAATTGATTGACTGGCTGGACAAGTACAGATGGAGAGCAAATGAGCCAGTTATCTTTTCAGATCCAAATTTGCTTGCCATTTCCCACTATCCAATGGATACCTCTAGAGATGAGCTCAGTACCTTTAACAATACTACGCCATATAGCTGATAGGGCTCAGGTTTTATCCAAATAATTTACTACTGCAAGTGCACAGCAAAGCAGTTGTAGTATAAGGGGTTATCGAATCATAAGGGAGTATGTAAACTACACTAGCGATTTGTAGATTTAGATTAAGCTAAGCAATAAGTAATGAATGTAATGTGAAACCGTAAAATAAATGCAAGTGGGCGTTTTATGCTTGTTCTTAAAGTCCAAAAAGCTAAAGGTGCTAAGTCAGGACAATTCGCAGGTTGAATCCGAGAGTGTAGAATGCATGCAATCAGGAATGAGTTAAAACCATTTTGAACATAAATCGCAAAGGTATAACTAATCAATTCTCATTACAGAAGTTCACTATGTCTAAATCACAGAGTTTCAAATCTATTTGCAAACCCTAACAACCTAAACATGCAGTAATGATCAGGTTCAATTGTTCACAAAACTCTTAAGCCAAATCTCTTTGCACTATGCCGTTTTGCTCATCTAATACTAGTTCAGGTGATTAATAATGCTCTCACATCTATCAAACAACCTAGGGTTTCGAAATCCAGATGATGTGTCTAAGAAATCGATATAAATGCAAGCACAGATGAAGAACCAATGGATTTTCCTAATAGTTTAGCAATTCTACAAACTCTTCTTCAACCTTTGAAAAGCCCTAACTTAACTAACAAACTACTCAGACATGGTGAATGAAACAAACATCATGAAAAGAATAGATTGCATAAAAAAAATAAGAAATAAAGATGAAAGAGTTCAAAATTTGCTCTGAAGGAGTCTGATTTGTCTCTCTAAAAGTTCTGCTACAAATCTCTCTCTCAAGCTCTCAAAAAGAATAAGATACAAGATAAAAGCCAACAATGGCTGAAAACCTAATATATAGAAATTAAAACACGATATGCTGCCTTTTTGCAAATACTAGAACTTCTGGGCCAAAACTGCAATTTCTTCCCAATCTTTTAAAAACCAGCCACAATCCTTCCTCTACGGTTGACGAGCGTCACCATAGGTGGTGGCGAGCATCACCCAAATCCATACTTTATTTTCCGAGTTGCACACTTTGTGGCTTCATCTTGTAATGCTCCAAAAGCTTCAATATCTCTAATTATGTTCCAAACATGCTATAACCTGCAAAGACTCTACTGGGACTCTAAAAAGATCAAAAAGACTCAATAAAAAAGACTTATATCATGGTTAAAAACCATAAAAACCATGATATATCAATAGCACTCAGATGACTGCCCACAGTTACAGCAAGGAGAGGCTTGTGAGGGAAATATTTCGCTCGTAAGATTTTAGCCATCAAGGAATTGGGAAAGCGAAGGATCCTCCAAGTTTGCTTAGCAATAAGAGTTAAGTTGAAATCATGCAAATCTTTTATCCCAAGGCCTCTAGACTTTTTCGGATTTGTAACTTTATCCCAGCCTACTAGAGGATTTTATGACAGTCCTTGCTTGAAGACCACCAAAAATGTCGTATAGCTGCATTTATTGAATTAAGCATTTTACTAGGCAATAGAAAACAAGACATGCAATATGTAAGTAAAGCAGTAGCAACAGCTTTGAATAGCACTTCCTTACCAAATGGTGAAAAATCTGAGAGTACCAACTAACTAATCTTTGTGTTAACCATTGGTGAATGAAAGAAAAGACATCACTCTTACAGCATTCTATAACATCAGGAAGGCCCATATATTTGTCAAAAGAACCAATCTTAGAAATGCATGTGATTGTCTTTAAAGCATTTTGCAGAGAGTTTGGAGTATGCTTACAAAATATAAGCGCAGATTTTTGATAGTTGACAAATTGGCCGGAGATGCTTCCATATCGTTGCAGTGCATCCAGTAAAGATTTACATTCAGTGTCCTCGGCTTTACAAAATAAAAGAGAATCATCAGCGAAAAACATATGGGAAATGACTGGTCCACCTCGACTAGCACGGAAACCATGAAGCTTTTTTTTATGGACCAACTTGGTAATCATATAAGATAGGCCCTCAGTATAGAGAAGATAAAGATAAGGTGAACTTGGATCACCTTGTCGTAATTCACGCGTCGGTTTGATGTTGCCAACTGGCGCACCATTGATGAGAATAGAGTAGGAAATGGAAGTAACAAAGGTCATTTACAGAGTCATGCGTGGAAGGTTAAATGTCCACCTAAAATGAAGCACTTTATATGGCAAGTAACTTTGAGATGTATATTGGTTATAGATAGGTTACATAACATAGGGATTAAGTGTGATGCACAATGCAGACGATGTGCTGCGGAAAGAGAAATAATAAATCATATGCTATTTGAATGTTCCCCCAGATTGCACAAGCAGAGGCAATATTGTGGGCTTTGGCACAAATTGATCTTCCACAACTTAAAATCAAAACACACAAAGATTGGTGGCTTTGGGACATGATGGTTTAATATGTGACACGGATAGCTCTTGGAAATCAACAGTATTGAATGCTGGATTAGGATGGTACTGTCAAGACAGTGGATTAGATGTTACGTTAATGGGGGCGAAAAATGTAAGATAAAGCACTTCTCCATTACACACATAGTTTAAAGTTTTGATAGTTCCAAACTGGTGAAGATGATGTCCAAACCAAAAACATGGCCGTCTTTTGCTCTATATTTGAGAAATACGAAACAAGTAGGAAAAAATTTGATTTCTTTTCCATCTCACATATTTTATCCAGAATACAAAAATATGTAAGTTATAATGCTCGAGACTATCTTTACAGTTGAAATTATGTAAATTGAACTCTACCGTTGAAAAATTAAATTATGATAGAAATGTAAATTAGGGAGATTAGTGATCAGCTCAAAAGTCTAGAAAAAATAGATTGGAAAACAATAGTTTAGGGGCTCTACAGATAAACAAAAATGAAATAGAAAAAATAAAAGTGAAAAAGAACAAGTAAATTGTCGATCCCGGTTTAAGCTTCCGAGTCGGCACGAGCCCAAGAGGTTTTCTTCTTCTTACTCTCGCCTTCTCCTCCTCTACGCAGGAGACTCGAGAGTTATCTTGCTATGGCGAGCGAAGAAGACAAAGCCCTTGAAAATCTTCTTGACATTCAGCTGAAAGACCAGAGAGAATCGCTTTCCGCCATTGACGAAGCCCTAGCCTCTGACCCATCTAACTCCGAACTCCTCTCGGTAAATTTTTCTTCTCCGAATCAGATCCCAAGTTTCCTCTAGAACTAGAATTCTACGATTCGTAAATCGCTCTTAGCCGAAAATTCAACACTTCTGTGATTGTTTTGTCTATCAATTATGCCTTATATAAGTTCCGAATCATAGATCAATTTAGTCGAATGTTGTTTCGTTCGTCTTGATAATTTTCAAATGTAAACAAAAATCTCATTTTTATGTGATGATAATGCTAAGTATTGAGTGGAGAGTACATCTCTAAGATCCTTTAGAGTAGCTACTGGTGAAAGGCATGATGTTCATTATTGATACTTATGTTATCTTCTGCTTCATGTTGTGTGTTTTGTCCCTCATAAGGTCCATGAAGAACTTCTAGGAGCAATCAAGGATGTAGAGGAAGGGCTTTTGCACTTAAAACGTGCTCGGTTACTGCAGGAAGCTGACTTAGTGCTGCTTGGCCTGAGTAATGCTGCTGCTGGAGTCAAATCCGAGCATGTCGATCCTGCAGATGAACCAGAGCCAACTCTCGAAGAGAAGAAGGATTCGGATGGATCGAAATGTAGATTCCGGCACACCGATGGCCGTTGGTATAATGGTCGCATTATTGGGTTTAAAGGCTCTGATTCTACAAAGATAACTTTCCTTACACCAACATCTGAGAGTATGATCGTGAGATTTTCTTAGTCCTTACTCTGTTTCATCATCAGTAACTATCTTACATTTCCTTTATTGTCTCATCTATATACTCAATTCTTAGTTGTCTTTTTTCTTAAAGGCTCAATTTTGCTTAGGTTTTGTTAGGAGAACATATAACAGTTGTGAAAGACTTAATTTTTGACATAGTTACTGTTGGCGTTGTTGCAACTGATGTTTTGTGTCTCAGATACTAACGCTGCACCGCACTAGTGCAGATGTGCAAGTTTTTCATGCAACAGAGGTGTCGGTTTGGTAGCACCTGTCGTTCATCACACGGTATGTTTCAGTAGATGATCATAATATTTACCATTGCGTTTCTGAATTTTGTTCATATTGTCATTCTGGTGGTTTAACTGCAAGAGTTCAATACAGGACTAGATGTTTCGTTGTCTTCTCTAAAGAACTACGAGGAGACTGAGTGGAAGCAATCGATGGTAGGCTCCAAGATTTGGGCGGTTTCCGGGAGTAAATACGACATGTGGAGGGTGGCTGAACTTGAGTCATGGGATGATGAACTACAAGTAGGCGGAGTTGTTTTCAAAGATGATGGAAGCTCTGCGAAGCTAGGATCTGATGCTATGGCTTTATCAGAGTACGCTCAGATGACTGATGATGGTGAAGAAGAAGAGGAAGAGGAAGAAGAAGGGAGTGTTTCAGGCTCTGAAGAATCTGTTTCAAGTGATTATGATGAAGACTCTCCTCCACAAGGCGTGGGCTTTTTAGAGAGCACAAATCAACGGAGGGGCGTACAAACTGAGACAGCCATATTTGCTAAGTGGGAGAATCACACCAGAGGAATAGCTTCTAAGATGATGGCGAGTATGGGATACCGTGAAGGGATGGGACTTGGTGCTTCTGGCCAAGGGATATTAGACCCCATCTTAGTAAAAGTACTTCCAGCGAAACGGTCACTGGATCATGCTCTTGAGCATATTAGGAACGGAGAAGATAAAACAGAGAAGCCTAAGAAGAAAAGAAGCAGAGGTGGGAGAAGGAAGCGTGAGAAGAAGTTTGCAGAAGCAGCTAGAGCAGCGAAACAGGAAGAGGAATCAAAGCCAGATTTGTTTAGCCTAATCAACGACCGTCTTCTTCCTTCGCGCCATGAGAATGTAAATGGAAAAGAGTCAGTGAAAAAGAGGCAGAACAATGGTCCAGTAGACAGGAAGGCTCTGGTTGCATACGAAGACGAAGTCAAGGGCTTGAAGTTACAAGTGAGGAAACTAGAAGAGATGGTGAACAGAAACAAGAAAGATCAGATTGTTTCAGAGGCTGCAACAAGAAGATTGAACGAAGTCAAAAAGGCATTGGCTTGTACATTAGCAGCTCAAGCATCTGCCTCCAATGCTGTAGAAAGCAAAGAGAAAGAGAAGAAATGGCTCAAGTTTTAGCTTTCAACAAATTTTATGGCCAAGCACCAAAACCTTCTGGATTTATATAATTGCGTTTACAAGCAAAGCAGTATATCCCGAAATAGGATGAGACATGCCAAATATACAATTTCATAGTCTTCTGTGTGTTCTAATGAAGTTATTGGTGTTCATTTTTATAGCCGTTAAGCAGGCGTAAGCTGCGGCGGAGCACAACGCAGCGGAGCCCAACAACACCGCCTTCCACTGTCTACTAACCACAAGAATGGCCAAAGCCGTCAAGGCTACGGCGGCACCAGAGAGGATATTCTTCCAGAGCTCAAAAGATTTGATCACGTTGCTGCAGCTTCTACAATGGATCACATGCCTGAAGTACCTGTTAGCCAAATTAGGAGCGTGCATCGTCCCAATCCCGCCTTTCGCAGGGTAAGTCGCGGAGAGACCGGCGATGAGCCCCGCCGGTGCGTGTTCCACCACGGGAGGGACCTTGGGGAGAGAGATTGTCCTGTGACCGAAATGGTAAGGCATACCGTGACCAACTTTGTCCATCCACTTTCTATATTCGGAAACCCATGTGTCTGATGACTTTAGGTTTAGATACAACTCTTTAGTTGGTACTTTCTCCTTCATCAGAACCTCGTTTTGAGACGATAGAAAGCCCATGTCTTGTTCAAAGACCTTGCAAGCGTTCTGATGCCAGAACCAAAGAGGCAAAACCTGAACCAGAGGCGATCTTTTGGTGACACCGAACCTAACGATAAGCATAGACTTCCCTTGTCCTGTAGGTCTACAAAGAAACAGCCCCGAGAAGTAGTTCTTGACACCGTCTTTACCTTCAAACTCACGATTGTTCTGAAGAACACAAGGAGCATCGAACCGGAGAAAGTTCTGCCCTTTCCCGTCTTTTTCTCGTCCCCAAGTCCCAGCGAAACCTCGGTTTGTTCGCTCAGTGACCTCAAAGACCAGAGGCTGAGCATCTTCTCTTTTCGCTGTAAAGTCGGTTCTGTCGTGAGAGATAGGGACATGAGCCGGATCCATCAGGTTCTCTAGAAGGATGGAGTGGTCGTAAGGTAGCTCGTGAGTACCGGAAATGTCGTAGAAACCGGGTCTAGCGAAATTCTCGAACCATGGAAGCTTTTCGGGTTTTGGTGGCGTCTTTGTCGACATCCAAACCCACACAACGCCCTGTGAATCTTTAACCTCGTATGTCTTCACACAAGCTGCTTTTGGAATCTTTGCACTCGCGGGAAGCTGTTAACAAAAGAAAACACCAGTAAGTGAATAAGAAGAAGAATCTTTAAATTAACTCTGAAGCAAAAACAGTGAAACAAGAACCTGAGGAATCTTGACGCATTTGCCATCTCCTTCGAATTGCCAACCATGGTACAAACATTCTAACCTCCCATCAATCAATTGTCCTTCAGATAACTTTGCTAACCTAAAAGACAAAAACTTACACACGTGAACAAATTTGAGAAAAATTCAAGAATCAGTAAATAGTAGGCAAAATTTTTATACCGAACCAATCTATATTTTGTGCAACCGAAACGAATTAACCCAAAATTAATTAAAAATGTTATATATTTTAGTTTAAACATAGAAAAAATTTCCCAAAAAGCCGAACTATACTAAACCGGATGTCCAAAACTATACAGTAGTTCCTAAATTAACCGAACTAAATAAATTTCCATGTAAACAAAATTGAGAAAAAATTCAAGATTCAGTACTCTACGTAGGAGTGTGCAAAATTTATTTACCGTCTAAATTTTGGATTTTTGTGCAACCAAAACTGATTAAAAGTTAATATATTTTAAACTAAACAGAACAGAGTCATAAATCGGTTTTATTATGAATATTTTCTAAAATCGAACCGAACTAAACCGAACGTCCAAAACTATTCAGCAGTTGCAAAACAATCTAGATTTTGTGCAACCGAACCAAATTGAACCAAAACTGATCAACAAAAATTAATACATTTTCAGTTTAAACAAATAGAAAAATACATATAATTGTTATCTTAAACTGAACCGAGAACTAATTCGGTTTTATGTAGAACCTAATTTTCAAAAATCAAACCGACCTAAACCGAATAAGCAGTTCCTAAAAAATCATTTTCCGTTCTAATACGCATTCACACTAATTATAAGAATCTGTAAAGATCAGGTTTGTGAAATACAAAAAACGAGTGGTTCAAGTTTTTCCGGCTAAATCACTCACCGATGAGGACACCGATCCTCGTAACATCGAAGAGTTCCGTCGCCGTCTTTGTACAAAACAATCTGGCGATCGAAGACGGTGAGACCGAGCGGCGCATCGTCGGGAACGTCTCTGGTGAGGTACAAAGGATACCACTCCTCCGTCCAATCGTAATCCGCCACCTCCTCACTTTTCTCATCCTCAGGCGTGAGATTTAACAGAACCTCTCCTTCTCCTTGCGTCTGATCCGCCGTCACGGTGGTACCAGCGGCGGCGGAACGGCGGAGGAGATGGAAACGGGGTTTGGTTTGTGTGCATGTTGTGGTTCTCTGGTTGAATTGGGTTTGGATTGTGTTGGGTGTTGTTAGCTTAGTGAAGAGGATCGGAGAAGTGGCTGTGAGTTGAAGCGAAGAGCTTAGAAAAGGAACAGCCATGGCGGAATCTTTATCAGAGAAAATCGATTGCAATGTTGGTGTGTGTATATGTTAAATAGATCATAAGGTTGCTTGTACTATTGTTGGACCTCGTTCCACCACATAGAAAACTTAGACCAGACACGATTATGTTGTTTTTTGCTTTTTTCTTTACATTTTTCAAATTAGGAATAATTTCTAGAAAAGGTTAAAAAGAAAATTATATTAAAAAATAGATTTATTACTTTAAATATTAAAGAAATACACAATTTTGTTTTTCACCTGAAATTCTTAAAACTTCAGTAAGTTTGTTGAATTTTAAATTTACATTATTTTATTCGTTTTAGAAATAATAGCCTATTTTGTTGATCATTTTTGTACAAATATGAGATGTTATCTTAATAGTCCTCTTTTAAATTTGAAAAGCTATGCAAAGAGACCTTAATATTTCTAATATGCTGCAGTAAAATTCAGGTGATTACGATGTTCAGTTTCCTGGACAATCTATTCATTTCTAGTTACTTGATGCAATCGTGCAATAGTATTTTTCTTTCTCACACTAAATCGAGTAAAGAGCACTGGACCCTTTGATCCAAAGTTTAAGTAGCTACTATCTTGAATAAGGCCACCTACCAAAACTTGTTTAATTGTTTGCTTCTTGGAACTTAGTGCATCTTTGATTTCGTAGTTGGCAATTAGCCATTTACCATTTGATAAAATGGATTTTAGTATAAAGTGAATTTTTTATTTTTGTGGTCCTAGAAGAATCAATCTTGTTGCTTATCGAGTTTAATCTACTTTTTAAATCTACAAAATACAAATCTTTTTTTTGTAATCCCACAAGTTATTGTACTTTGCAGATTTTACAAGATATGTTCGTTCAGCTTGTGTGTTTAATGAACAAGTTTAGTACTACCAGCTCCTACAATACCCGTCACAAATTAATATTTGGGATAACGAGGTGATTAACAAGGTTTGAGGTTTTAATTTGGGAATTGACAAAATAAATATATGCTAGAAGGAAATAGCGAAAAGGTATCCATTTCAAATAATTCACAATATAAATTTACTATAATTACTATCAACATACCTGTTAGTATGAGAAAACTTATATTAAATTAGTTATGCATATATTTTTATTTATAGAGTCCTATTAAATTATGAAATATATATATATATATAAAAATGTTTAATACGATATATACATATATATGTTTATTTATAGAATAATATTTAATTATGAAATAATCATATATACATAGCTGTTTAATAAAATGAGAAAACGATCATAAAAATCATGAACTCATCCTTTTTCGCCAAAATAAATACAAACTTTGCACTACCCAAAAAACATATGAACTTGGTGTTGACCAAGATAAAAAGATATACTTTTAGTCGACATAATCCACTACATATTATTTGAGAAGTAACATTATTGAAAATAGCTGACTTGTCAATACTACAGTCAAAATTAGTGCTTTTAATTGATGACATGTCAAACTTCTTAAAATAAACAAAATGTTTTGATTGGTTGAATTAAAATTATAGAAATTATAGAATTAAAACATAAATAAACTAGACTATATTCATAACACTAAATTAACAAATTTAAATAAATAAAAAATAAAAGTTATTATAATTTCATTTTTTACATATATTCATAATTTCATAAAATATAATTACGAAAAAATTTCAACAATATATATATATATTATAATTTCATATAAAACAAAAAAATAATACTAAATTATCCAATAGAATAATAAAAATTCTATTTATTAATAATACTTGAAGTATGATATATTTTTATTTTGGAAAGTTATTAATTTACAAAATATATTAATAACATCTAAACAAGTTTTAAATAAACAAAATATTAAATAATACAATTTTAAATAAAATACAATCATGATAAAGATAATTTAAAGAATAAAATGTTAAAAATAATAAAAAAATAGTTAACTTTTATTAAATTTTTTTAAAAAAAACGTAGTTTTAAATAATTTTTCTTTTCAAACCAATATTTACTAAATGAATAAAGTATATACTAATTATTATTTTATAATATTAATAGGACCATATATTTTTCTAATACCTTTTATCATCTTTTTATTGTTGTTTTCTAAAATGTACATAACTTATGTTACCGTCTCATCTTATCTCTTATCATATTTTAAATAAAAATAAAATTTATATCATATGTATGTATATATTTATATATACATAAATTTATTTTCATTGTATATCAAAATTTTGAGAACATAAATAAAATAAAAAATAACCGAACGAAAGAATAAATTATAATCAAAATAAAAATAGAAGTATATAAAAATAAATCTCTTGCACTTTGTTTTACAAAGTCACTTAAAAACTTTTTAACACCTAAGAGTCATACTTCAATTTTTTTACAAA